CCTTTTTTTACAAGACTAGGTTAGCAAAATTTTTTCCCCTGGTAGGTTCAGTTACACTCTGTTTCGAAAACAGTCCTGAAAGTTTCCATGAAGTCACTGGGGCTCTGATTACCTGTCAAAGAATTCCAGTCAAATTTTGGGTTAATTAAAGTCCCCTATATGAACGTTACTGTGACAGAAGCCCAACAATTTCGTCCCAAAGAAGTCTCCCCCTTTTCGTGATCCCAAACTGGAGGTCGGGATATTTACCCTAAAATTTTTTCTTTCCTCCACGAACCCCTACCAAACAGACCTTTTTCTGCTCCCTCTATTTTTATCCTGTTTTTTTGCAACAATTAAAAATTTTTTTTGAACTACAAGCAACTCCTCCCCCCCTTTCCCTTACTCTATCCACATTGAATAAATTAAAACCTGAATATTCACTCAAACAGTATATCCCGACTCTTTAAATCATAAAACGTTTAGTTAATGCAAAGATACAAAGTTCCCCGCACACCCTACCAAAAGTTTTTCTTAATTTTATTTCTTGCACTTCGATGTTAGCTAAAAACCATATATGTTTTTTTTTCTGCACATTTTTCCTATTTCTTTGTTTTTAAAAAATTTTTGAAATTATCTTCCCCCAGTTCTCCATGACAGTTACTATTAAGATTTTAATATCAAGCATAAGTCAATATTCCATATCATTATTAATCATTTCTAAACCATACCTCTAACTAACCAGTTTAAAGTCCTAACAACCCCCTCAACTGAGTTAGCAAGAAAACCCACACCTGCCCTGGATAAGTGAACCCCATCCCTGGCATACATGTCATTTCGGCCATAGAAGTTGTCCAGTTGTCAATGAATGGTACTGCATTATCCTTACAGTGTTTATCCAGCCAACAATTAACACCAATTGCTCTGGACAACCATTCATTACCAACACCTCTTCTTGGCAAAATGCCAAATATAACAGGGCGCCCCCCCTTCTTCCTAATCATGTCTATAGCTGTCCTGAACTTTCTAACTAAATCCTCACTTCTACACTTGCCTACATCATTGCCTCCAGCACTGAGGCAAATAATAGGATTGATCCCATTACCGTTCATGATGTTGTCAAGCCGGCTAACAATGTCCTCCATCCCAGCCCCAGGAAAGCATACCCTTTGTCTCCTACTCCTGTCCTTCAAGCAGAATGCCCTATCCATGTATCTAACCTGGCTATCCCCAACAACAACAATATTCTTACCTTCCTTGTTGTCGTTCGTCGTGACGATCCCAGTAGTAGACTCACATTCGTCGGGTAGCACCGAGAATGCGTTGGAGGTTTCCACGGGAGTTTCCACAGCAGTCTCTTTCTTCTTCATCGTTTCTGGCTTTCCATTCGTCTTCTTGATCGTCAACTTCGTCGTCCCCTGCTGTCCAACCACTGACCACGATCCCTTCTTGACCTGAGGACTCGAAACAGGAGGACTACTACGAATCCTCTTGTTTTCCTCGGTCAATCGCCGTATCTCCATCTTCGCTGCCCTCAATTCTTCCTTAAGTTGCTGGTAAAGTTGCTCGATGGAGGGCATCTTGGTTCAGTCCACGGGAGCAAACAAGACATAGGAACAGTTATTTGTAGGTTTTCTGTAAATTTTAAATTTGAATTCATTATTACCCTTAATAATTAAAACATCTAGAAAAGGCAATGAGTTATTTTCTTCAAACTCAACAGTAAAGTTTATAGAATGGGCTAAGCTATTTAATTTTCCAAGAAAATGGTGTATATCTACATTTTTGGGCATAAGACACAAAATATCATCAACATATCTGAACCATTTAGCTCTATTAGGGAGGATTGTGTTAAGCAACTGCATATATATATATGCAGTGGAACCCCAGTGCTCGAACAGCTCCGTACTAGAAGAATTCGGTACTTGAACTTTTTGTTCGGTAAATAAAATCGCTCGGTAATCGACCGCTTGCTCGGCACTTGACCAATCAAACACAATGTGCCAGATCATGTGCGTCAGTGCAGTGCAGCTGTCGCTCAGTACAAAACTCTTCTGAAATTCACTGCAAACTATTTCGTTTTTCTTCTTATTTTTTATATTATTTGTATAAATAAGTCACCATGGGGCCTAAGAAGATTAGTGATAACAGTTAACCAAAAAGAAAATTGGTTACAGTGTGTCTGTCCTGATGTAAATGCCGCTTCAGCCTCTCCATATAAAATGCCTTTAATTAATTTCGGCGTCTTTATTATGCTTCTAGGTTTTCTACTGTGTTCCTGATATCAAGTTGGAATAACAGTGATAGACAGATAACCTTTATTATTAATATTAGCATAATTACACAACATTATATTCGCACCACCGCTAGTATCCAGGTATCAAGACTACTCATCAGATACTGAATGCTCCTACTGCTGACCCCTCCCTCTCGCTCCTATTGCTCCTCCCACTTCGGGCCCGTTTTATATTGTGCTTGCTTTCCATTTTGAATTTTTATTCACACAAAAAAATAAAAGATTTACTGCTATGAAAACTACTGCGTTATTGAAAAAATTGGTATAAATAGTATCAGCGCATTTGTGAAAGCATATTAGACCCACCGGTCTACGTGTATTGGACGCATGACGTGATTTGTTCATTCTTTAACATCAGCAAAAATCGAACATTTCCGCTAATTTGAGCTCAATTTCAAAGCGCTTTTAGTTTGTAAACGATTGAAAATCATCTCTATTTCTGTAATATACGTTTCATTCTATCAAATGAGACCAAAAAAAACGAGAATACAGTCATAAATGCCACAGGAATATACACCGCAAAATTTCTGTAAGTGTATTTTTGGGGGTCTGAAATGGATTAATCAAAATATATAATATATATATATATATATATATATATAATATTATATATATATATATATATATATATATATATATATATATATATATATATATATATATATATATTTATATAGGGGATGGGGTCCACCTCTGGTGTAAATTGTGGGATCCATAGCCTCGGAGAAGTGGATAAAAAGGCTTCAAGGAAGAATATTTGGATATATATATATTATGCGTGCTTACACTACAGTTATAAATCTGCAACATTAACACCCCTCCTTCAGAGTGCTGGCACTGTACTTCCCATCTACAGGTCTCAAGGTCGGCCTCTCGGTTTCCCTGCATCCCTTCATAAATGTTACTTTCCTCACACTCCAACAGCAAATCAGGACCTAAAAACTGTTTGTTTCCATTCGCTCCTATCTAACACACTCATGCACGCTTGCTGGAAGTCCAAGCCCCTTTCACACAAAACCTCCTTTAACACTCCCTCCAATGTTTCCGAGACCAACCCCCTACCCTGCCTTCCCTCCACTACAGATTTATACATTCTCGAAATCATTCTCTTTCGTTCCAGCCTCATACATGTCCGAACCACCTCAACAACCCTTCCTCAGCCCTCTGGATAATAGTTTTGGTAATCCCACACGTCCTGCTGATTTCCAAACTATTGATCCTCTGCATTATATTCTCACCACACATTGCCCTCAAACATGATATCTCCACTGTCTCCAGCTTTCTCCTTGCTGCAACATTCACAATCAATGCTTCACGCCGAAACAAGAGCGTTGGTAAAACTATACTCTCATACATTCCCGGCTATGCTTCTATGGATAATTTTTTTTGTCTCCACAGACTCGTCAGTGCACCGTCATCAATTCTATGATTTACCCCATCTTCCACAGACCCATCTGCTGGCACGTCCACTCCCAAATATCTGAAAACATTCACCTCCTCCATACTCTCTCCCTCCAATCTGATATCCAATCTTCCATTACCTAATTTTCTTGTTATCTTTATTACTTTACACTTTCCTATATTCACTTTAATTTCCTTCTTTTACATACCCTACCAACTCATCCACCAACAACTGTAACTTCTCTTCAGAATCCACCAAAAGCACAGTATCATCAGCAAAGAGCAACTGTGACATCTCCCACCCGTGCAATCACTTCTCCTACAATTCTATATATAAATATATTGAACAACCATAGTGACATCTAACATCTCAGTCTAAGGCCTATTTTTACTGGGAAATAATCTTCCTCTCTCTCCTACATTAACCTGAGCCTCAATATCCTAGAAAAAACTCTTCACTGCCTTCAGTAACCTACCTCCTGTTCAATGCATTTGCAATATCTGCCACATTACCTCCTTATCCACCCTATCATACGCCTTTTCTAAATCCATAAATGACAAGAAAATCTTTTTACCCTTATCTAAATACTGTTCACCTATATGTTTCACTATAAAAACTTGGTCTACAAACCCCCTACTCTTCTTAAAGCCTCACTGTTCATCTACTATCGTGTTTTGCGTCTTACTCTTAGTTCTTCAAATAATAACTCTACCATACACTTTACCAGGTATACTCAACAGATTTATTGCCCTTTAATTTTTACACTCTCTTTTGTTTCCTTTATGCAAAGGAACTATGCATGTTCTTTGTCAGTCCCTATGTACCTTACCCTCTTCTATACATTTATTAAAAAAAAAAAAAACGCTAAACGCTCCAGGACCATATCTCCACCTACTTTGAACGTTTCTATCTTTAACCCATCATTCACAGCTGTTTTACCCCCTTTCATTCTACCCACACCCTCATGCACTTCCCCCATATTCACAACTGACTCTTCCCCACTCCTACAGAATGTTATTCCTCCTTGCCCTATACACGAAATCACAGCTTCCCTATCTTCATCAACATTTAACAATTCCTAAAAATATTCCCACCTTTTTCCATTTAATAAATCTCCTCTCTTTTTTTAATTATGAGCCCATTCGTTTCCTAGAGTTTCTCAACAAATTAATCTCACTCCAAAGCTTTTTCTTATTTTCAACAAAATTTGTAGATAACATCTCACCCATTCTTTCATTTGCTCTCTTTTTACATTGCTTCACCACTCTCTATATACTCCTCACTTATTGCGACAATGTCGGTGTTCTGTCTCTCTCTTCCTAGGATGGCAGTCGAGAGTGAAGTGGACGCCGCCACGCTCAGGGAGGTTCGACTTAACGGCAGTCTCATTATTGTCAATAGGTACAGTGAACTTCTGGTGTTTTAAAGTCTATGAAACTTAACGTAATGCCTGTGACATACATATGATTGGTTTTAAGGTTTTTCTGAGTGACATTTTGAAAGATGATGAGAGTTACAAAAAACGAGATATCTTGTAAGCATAGAGATCTCCAGTGAATACTAGAAAGGACTGCCCTTCTAGCATCCAGCCTGTTACTGGGTTTTTGTAACAAGCAGTCAGTATCCTGGTCCAGTTATCCATTAGAATTTAGTAAGATTCAATAGTGCTTCAGGATTACAACTGGTAGACTACTAACTAAAGAAATTAAAATTTAAAAAGTTTATTAATAACAAAGTTATCTAGGCGTATAAGATCAAAGTAAATTATAGTAATCAATTGAATATAATATAGGATACAAGTTCCTACACTTCTCTCGTATACATTAGTATTGTGCTGAAGGCACATATCACATCTTTATGGTTTTTAAGTACCGTCTGGTACATTGTTCGCATTTAATAACATAATACAAATTTATACAAGTAAGTGTGTGTATGTGTGTAAGTGCTCTAAGCAGTTCACTATGTCTCAAGACTCAACTAGACTTAACCAGAGACTGACTAAAAGTCCTCACATAAACTAACTTCTTGACCAACCTGACAATCAGAACAGCTTGCTTGAACAATAAAATGACTGATAAGCCGAACAGCAATATAACAAGCAACAGCGACACAGAATCAGGAACAAGGAGATGATATAACGACACTAAGTAGGGACCATCTGCAGATCCTCCACAAAAGTCACAAAACCCCCATACTACTACATCCAAGTTCAGCATTAGAAAATCCCCCACTGTGACAGTACACAGATACCAGTACCAATTAGGTCAGAAGCTACAGCTCAGGACCTGAGTTTCTCAGTGTCTATGCGACACACAACCTCAGTACATCGAAAATCACTAAGTCTAGGCTATGTTCTGTGAACAGAGTTACACAGAACCAACAACAAGAAAGCGACAGAGACGATCTTCCAACAAAGGCCAGCAAGGGAGAAATAGAGGGACGGCTTGTTAGAAGAACGTCAAGCAGACAAGAGGCAGTGCAGGCCAAGCAGACTACTCCTGGACTGCTGCTGCCCAGCAACACAGAAGCCGGCAGCGTAACGAGAGAAGCAATAGTTAGCCAATACTGTCAGCGACTTAACACTCGAACTATGAGCACTGAATAATATATAAATGTTACATCCTACCTAATAATATAACTAAGTCAAATAATGATATAAAGCAATATATTTACGATTTAGCTAATATTGCAAATATAAGCAATATAAAATTATATGAACAGGTAATATACATTATGTACATTGTGACCCATTCAGGGGTCGCAACACACCCCCCCCCCAGCACGACAAACGGTCACACTAAGAGTTGTGTTAGTGTCTTTCACAAGATTACTGTGATTATTCATGTCACTTTAATAACACAATTTAATATAAAAATTCAGAGTCACTCTTGTGCCAACACTTCTTACATTTTACAATGTCTATTTCACTATAAGTTATGCCTCTTGTACTAGGGCAGTACACATCGTATAGTATCTCTGCATACTCGTGACTATTTACATCAATGAAGAGACAGGATAACGTAGACAAGCATGACACGTTGAGGCTCGATCATAGTAGTGGAGACTGAATATGAACAGGAGAGTGTTCCGCCACTCAGTAACTAGCATTGCCCACACAACATACTATACACTCAACACTCAGATTCTGTCTCCAACTGTCTCCTTCTCACACCAACATATATCACCACTACTATGAATATATAAATAGAATAATTAGACATGAGTATACATAGTTAACATGGGCTGGATAGAATATGTTACTTTACCGAATTTGACATAGCAAGTAACAAAAGGTATTTGGGCATAAAATTACGTTAATTTAAATGTAACAATGATAATTAAGGACGTGACAGAGCATCAGCAATTACATTACAATGACCACTGATATGTTGTATACTAATAGAGTATGGCTGGATTCTGAGAGCCCACCTCATGATCCTAGCAATTTTACTCTTCATTGTATTTATGTTGGTGAGTGGATTGTGGTCTGAAAAAATGTTAATTTTAAATGGGGAAGTGCCCAAATACACATCAAAATGTTCCAAGGACACCACAAGAGCTAGAGCCTCTTTCTCAATAGTGGCATAATTTTTCTGGTGTCGTTTGAGATTAGATGAATAGTAACATATAGGATGGAGAATGTCAGTGGATGTTGACTGTTGGAGCAGCACAGCACCCACTGCATAACCACTCGCATCTATATGTAAACAGAAGGGAAGATTGAAATTAGGACTCCTCAACACAGGTGCAGAGGAAAGTAGACGCTTCAGCCTTGCAAACGAGTCTGAACAACTCCTAGTCCAGATGAACTGAACTTTGCTACTAGTAAGCTCAGTGAGAGGTGCAGGTGGAGGTGTGTGTGCTAGCTTGCCTGTCACTTGAAACACGTGGCAACGTTGCACATGATCAGCTACTGTTTTCTTCATTTTTGGCCAAGTAAAATGTTTTGCCAGTTTACCGAGTGTCTTCTTGACACCCAAAAGTCCTCCTATGGGACTATTGTGAGCAAAATCAATGGCTTGTTCAAGAAATGTTACTGGTAACACTACGAGATGCTTGACTGTGGTGGAAACACTATCAGCTGACAACTTACATGTATTTTTCTCCATCAATACACCATTACTATAATAGTAACAATTATCGAGATCCTTTGTGTCATTCTCACTAACTGCTATATCTCTCAGTCTTTCCAGTGACTGATCAACAATCTGATCCTTGATTAAATCATCATGAGTTAGAAATTTAACGTCAGTTGTGTCCTGACTAGGTTGATGACAGGGAGGAGTCAGTGTTAATGATCCTGGGCGCAGAGCATCACTAAACAACATATTCAAGCCCAAATCATAGTCATCCACTAACTCAACAGGAGACAAGGATGGTTGTTGTATCTTTGACATAGCTCTAGTAATTACGCTGAGAGGAAATAAAATAGGCTTCTCTCTACAAGCTTCAATGGCATAATTATCATCAGTGTTGTTATCAATTCCAAGTGGTTCCTTACATATACCAGCATGAAGGATATCGTTCCCTATCAACAAGTCCACTGACTTGATGGGAAATACACCACTGGATATACCCACTGAAATATAACCAGTATAATAGCTTGTTTCAATGTAAACTTTGTGAAGAGGTACTTTTATAACAGCCCCACTATAGGCTTCTAACAATACATCTATCTTGCAATAGGTATCAGTTATGGGCAGTACATCTTCTCTCAATAATGTGAGATAACTGCTAGTGTCTCTGAAAGTAATTATCTCAGCCGGATGTGATTCGTCAAGTTCTACTTTACCTCTCGATAAGTAAGGACACATCGCTGAATGAATCTTTTCATCAGATACCCTTTCTGATGCTAGTCATCTATCCTGAGTAATATTATCTAAAACAGTGGGATCAGAGGTATTATTAGGATTTTGGTACCTTTGTTGCACGGAAGAAGATACGACTTGTGTGGGGGCGCCAGTCGTACGACCGCTTCTCGTATCTCTTTCTAACTTATAGCAATACTCTCTAGCATGTCCTTTTCTGTTACAATAGGTACATTTAACTTTCTTCTTCTCAATGTCAGATTTCTGTCTAATCACAAAGACAGATTCAGGATTGTGAGTTTTCCTGGTAAAGGTACGAGAAGTTACAGTAGCAGGTACATCAAGCCGGCACTGATCAGCTGATTTAGGTTGCCAACTTCAAGGACAACTTTTAGTTACCTTGTTTCTCTGTGTTTTAGTACGCACAAATTTGTGAGAAATCTCGTAGTTGTCTGCTAATGCTGCAGTTTCCAGAATATCAGAGGCAGTATGATCGATAGATATTCTTGTATGTCAGCAGACACACAGTTGTAAAACTCTTTGTGAAGTAACAACTGAACCAGACTGTTATAATTATTGCACTTGGTGGCTCTGCACCACCTCTCAAATGCAACTTTTTTCTCACGAGCAAACTCTAAACAAGTTTGATCTTGTCGTCGTTGTAACGTACGAAAAGCACGTTGATAACTTACAGGTAACAAGTTATATGTCTCTAGAATAGTTTCTTTGACAGCGTCATAACTAATGTACTTGGTAAATGGCAAAGCAGCAGTACAAGTTTGAGCTTTTCTTGTCAAAGCTGTGTGAAACAAGGTGGCCCAGTGCTTACGTGGCCAGTTCATAGCACATGCCAGGTTCTCAAACACATCAAAATAGGTGTCTAAGTCACTCTCAAAAAACTTAGGAACCATTGAGGCAGCTTTCTGCACATTAAATATGTCCTGTGCTGTACTAACAGGTTTATCAACTTTGTCAGATCTATCAGTTTGTTGTCTTCCGAGACAAACATTTTCTCTCTGGAAATCTTCTTCATTCAATTTCCTCTGTGCCTCTATTTGTGCAGTCTGCAACATAATGAGGCGTTCCAACCTCTCAAATTGTTCCTCAGAGATAGGACCAGTAGGTAATAGAGGAGTGGGGAAATTAACATATCTTTCTGGATGGTCCTTAGGTCAGACACCTTATCCAACCATCCCTAGAGAGTCTAGATCTGGTCTAGGATAAGTACTAGTATGAGGCTAAGTCATACTACCAGCTACACTCTGTAATATTGTGTTAGTCAGGCAGGAAGGTGTGAGCATGAACAGAGTTACACTAGGTTCAGACACTCCTTCCATAGTTGCTCTCTCTTCTATGTCATCAAATAGAGTCATACTTCCTAATAGAGACACTATGCTCTATGTATCTGAATCATAATCAGACATCTCTTCATGAGCAGGAAACAATATATCGTTAATTAACACTCTGACAGTTTCTGCGGTGTAATTCCTGTTATACGTCACACCCAGATATGTGGCTACTTGCCAACGCATCTGAAGCTTTAAAGTATTCAACTCCGACAAAGTCAGAGTATCAATAAACTGTTTCACTTTGACATACATCACGAAAATAAATGCACTATGAGAGAGTGATTATTGGAAACTATAATCCTAATAGGAATTTTAGTGTGGGTTGTCTTAGAACTAGAACTCATAAACAGTATTTCCATCTCCTTGGATCAAGAGACTCATTCAAGGACATGCATCCACCTAATATGTTGTACAAGACTAAACTCAAAATTTTCAGATTAGGAAAG